GGGTAAATATGTAATCTTATATTTAATTAATTATGGTAAATATATAAATCAATTAATATCCCTTTAATTTAAGAATATCAGTTTCAAAACCCAATTTCTAGTATATATCGTCGCCCCAACCTTTTCCCTCTCATCTCCCTCTCGTACACAATCCACTTCTGGCCGACCAAGCACACACAAGACGACATATTCTGGAATACGACCAACCACAACCTTTTCCCTCTCATCAAATTCACAAGTTGTTGCTGTCGGGGTATTCATAATGTATGCCCAAACACTTCCAATTTCAAATTATAATCTCAATCCCACAAAAACCTCATCTTCGTTTCGCTGCTTAAACCCTAACCCACCTTCAACCCAATTTGTTAAATTTCAATCCTTCGTTTCGCTCTCGCACTCCTCTCGCACACAGAAATTTGTCTCGCTCTCGTCTCTCACACACAACACACAACACTCGTCTCTCTATCAATCGTCGATAATCACGTTCGCACCAGCAATCGGCAACACCTTCAATCGCCGATAAGCGGTTTGATAACATATAAATATACAAGCGCATGTACGTTTCTACTCAATCTGTTGTCGTTCGCTCATTTTTTACTCACGCAGGTATGTATACTTTCTTATCTACAATCGAGATTCTATGGAGTGTGTGGAAATTATTTGTTAGTATTAGATTTTGAGTTTCTGTTTGTTGTTATAGCTTCTGCGTATTTCTAAAGCTTGTACTTGGAGACTTTTCTCATGCCCAATCTTAATTGCGGATTCGTAGCTTACTTGACAGTGTTTTTGTTGTTGAAAATTGGATAATGGTTGTGGTGAAAGTGGAGTTAGATTAGGGCTCGTAAGAAATGTTGATACATAGGATGTTGCCTTTTGATATTGATTGCTACAGAGTCGAAGAATCAAATTAAATAATCACTTAATAAAGGTTAATATAGGCTCCATATCTGATTATTTTGACCCAAAATAATTACTTTTGTCCAAACTATCAAAATTTCAAACACCCCTACCCTTCTACGTTTTTTTTCATAAGATCAAACAAGTTGTAAACTTGTAATGCTTAGGTGATTAGTATTTTGCTTATTTATTTTACTTACACTTAAACTATGCATATGAATCTTTGAAAAGAGTTAATGTTGTTTTCTATTGTGATTCTTTAATTATATGTTAAGCAGTATGCATACCTGCTCTGGAGCTATCAAACAGCCTGTATGGATTAAGGAATCAACATTCCTCCCAAAAAGACCTGGTTTCACTAAGTTTCCACATCAGCTGAATCTTGGATCACTCAAGCCATGTAAATCATCTAAAATTTAAGCTAGCTTGGTTACTGGAAAGCCATCCACTACTTCTCCTTTCTGTGTATGATTCATATATTTGTCCATCAACTTATGAAACTACTTTCTAGCAATCCCTTAGTGGTTTGTGTATTTTATACAATTCCAATTCTATCGGAATGGAATCACGAATTCAAATTCTATCGGAATGGAAACACGAATTCTAATTCTGTTGGAATGGAATATGGATATTTTCTCATTTATTATACATGTTCTACAATTTTTCGTTATTGGTTTTGGTGCAGTTAACAAGTCCGCATATTTTTCCAAAGGAATATAGTTTTTTATTTATCATTTGCTAATGCCTTATTAGATTCTAAACTACAATTGGATTTGTTTTCACAGAAGTTGACGCTTGAAGAAGGTTATTGGATTCTAAACTACAATTGGATTTGTTTTCACAGAAATTGATGCTTGAAGAAGTTGATGCTTGAAGAACGGACAACAAAATTGAAAGTGTTTCTTAGCAACATTATTCTTTTAGAATGAATTAGTGTATTTGTTAGATTTTGATGTTTTTTTTTTCTGATTTGAAAGTTTTTTAGTTTTATTCTTTTACAATAAATGTAATTCTTAGCAATTGTTACATGTATTCTATAAGAATTAATGTAATTTTTGTTTTAATTCTTCAATTGATGGTTCGAGAATTTTGTTATTCTAAAAGAAAATTTTAAAGTCATGATCAAGAAATATGTTCAAGAAGATTTTTATTATTTTATGGTTCAATAATTTTTTTTATTTTTGAACATATTCAAACATATTCTGTCAGAATGTCCGAATTAAAAACCTTATAATTCGTAAAATCGGATTTTTAAAATTAATAAAATCTATGATCCCTTAAAATATGCAAACTTCCTTTATTAAATATATGTTAATTTACTAAAATACCCTTTTAGTTAAATTAGATGGTATTTTCCAATTATATTTAATTCAATAATATGTATTAATCACTTTCTTAAAATAAGTAAAATGATTGGCCAACATATATGCATACAATAACACAATAATTACTTTGAATAGAATAACATAAGCCTATATATATATAATGATATGCTTTTGAAAATGGTTGTGCTATAAGTACGCCACTTATCCATATTTACCCCTTCAAATTTTTGACATTTGATTTGACATCATTTTTTTTCCTTTTTTAACACAAATTATTATATATTATTATTATTATTACTATATATTATTATTATTATTATTATTATTATTATTATTATTTAATATTATTATTATTATTGTTATGAATTTCGCACAAAATTTTAACATTCAGACGACATTATAAATTCGAACGGCTATATAAAATCAATTTTATATATTTTTTATATTTTAATATTTATATTATTATTGTTATAAATTTTGAACAACATTTTATAAATCGGACATTATAAATTCGAATGGTTATATAAAATCGGAACAAAATCAAAGTTTGTCCGTATTAATTACGGATCAGAACATTCGGCTGCATGGAAAACATTGTATAGTGCTCGACTAAATGTTTTCAATCCGCATAACGCACCACACAATTGTAATACCGTACCAATTAATATTCGTAATTAATAGGGACAAACTTTGCTTTTGTTCCGATTTTATATAGCCGTTCAAATTTATAATGTTCGATTTATAAAATGTTGTTCAAAATTTATAATAATAATAACAATAATAATATTAATACTAAAATATAAAAAAATATTTAAAACCGATTTTATATAGCCGTTCGTATTTATAATGTCGTCTGAATGTTAAAAGTTTGTGCGAAATTTATAACAATAATAATAATAATATAAATTAAAAAAGAATTAAAAACAACAAAAAAAACAAAATAGGAAAAAAAAAACAACAAAAGACAAAGAAGGGTGAAATTGGAAAATGAGGGGTAAGAATACCCCTTTAAAAATCATTTTCATATCCTATGTTTTTGTACCGATTCGTACCAAGAAATCAATATCCAGGATCATTTTCTGATGATAGGATCGTAAAGTCTTACGATGTAGTAATAACTATGATTGTGATTTTATCTTCGTTGATCCATTACTCTATTGTTTGACTTTAATGAGACTTTGATATTATTATTGTTTTCAAATTAAAAGCATTAAATAATTTCCAGTAAATTTGAATATATGTGTATTATATATGGATATTTGAATTTAGTTTAATATGTTTGATATAAATAAAAAAAACAGATAAATAAAAAAAATAGAAACTCAAAACTCAAAACTTATCAACACTTATCAAGTGCATTAGTTTTGTTTGGAGGGCTTGTATGGGGCGTATTCCTACTGCAGTGACTCTTTCCAGGAGAGGTATCAACACGTCTTCTATTTCCTGTCAAATGTGCTTTAGTGGTGTGAACACTGCGGATCATATTCTCTTGAATTGTCCGATTGCTTTTGATTCCCTATGCTAGAATTTCAATTGGTGTGACATTTCTATTCAAATGTTTCTTCGATTTCAGTTATTGTTAATTTTGCTGCCTCATGGAGGAACTGTCCAAAAAAAAGAAAAATATTTCTTGCTATTTGCTATGAGTGTCTATGGTGTATGTGGAAAGCAAGGAACGACGTTTGGTTTAACAGAACCCAAGTGAACTCTTCAAAGTTGGCGGATAATATGATTTCTATGGTTTTTAGTTGGTTGAAATATATGAGTAATTTTGGAAATTGTAGATAAGAATGTTAGGTTTGTTCCCGTTTTGACATTTTGTAAGTTTGTTTTGTTTTTCTTTTGTGTCCAATCTTTTTTCCTTTAGGCCGTGGTTTTATTAATATCCGCCGGTTAACAAAAATAAGTATAATAATAAGTTAGTAACGTATATTTTTGGTGTATATTTAATAAGTTGGTAACGAATATTTTTGGTGTATATTTAATTTCTATTTAATTTGCTAAAGCCTATTGTGATTTCCTCGTAGGCATTTAGAAATTAAAAGAAAATTTGCTTTAAGTCTTCAACAACGAAATGTTTAATGTTGTACTTTTAATTTTAATTTTTTTAAAGCTTTAATGTTTAATGCGAGTCGGATCCTGCAACGAGATGTCTGGAGAGGCCGATCTATAGACCACATTCTAAAATGATAGTGCGAAACTTTTAGCGACCACTTGCCCTCATTGGATATCTAAGCGCTGACTTATGTACCTTCAACGACGACATTAATGTTGTGGTTGTACTAGGGTTGATTTTTTTGTAGTGTTATATTATACAAAACACTACTTTGAAAATAAGGATAAGATTCAAATACACACTTTCAAATTATTGAGAACAAATCCAAACCACACAAGCAAACACAACATAGTTAACGTTTGCAACGTCAATTTAGGAGGTATCAATAAAATTATTTTTCCAAACTAAAACATCAATCCAATTAACACAATCCCAGTGAATTATGTAACTTGAGTTAAAGCTTGAGATAATCAACGTTCAATGGCTTCAACACGTCACTAGCATCTACCTCGATGTAGTTTATGTGTTTCAGTGGCAAATGCATGTAGACAATCCAATCCTCATCGTTGACTGGTCCAGGCATTATCATCACCAAAAAGTCCGTGCTTTCAGATGGTACATAACATGATCCAAAAGCCACCTTACCCCACCCGAAATCTATTGCGTCCATGGTGTGAAACCTTTGTCCTGCTGACACCATCACCGACATTTCTTCACCGGCAAATGCCTTTGATGTCAGTGGTTGTGGCCGTTTTTCTTCCACCCAATCTATGAGTTCCAGGAAATGCTCTTTATTAGTTGCAGTCTGCAAGAACTCATGGACCTCCGTAGCAACATTAGCCAATGACATCCCCCTTAACTCCTAACTTGTCAAAAATACCGAGTTAGAATTATAGTATTACAATATATAATAATATTCATAACTTAGTTGTAAAATAATCATTGTAGTTGAGAAGATACAAAAAGAACAACATGATTTGCAAGTTACAAGTATATATAGGTTTTTACGTTTGAGAAATGAAGAACAAAATGTTATATTTAGTGGCAACACTTGTATAAATTTATTACCTGTGCTCTTTTCGACCCATAAGGCATTGATATAACATTGCCAAAGTATGAAGCCATCAGTTTTTCTTTCTCTTCTCCATCTCCCTCACTCAATCTTCTCCTTCCATTGACTGCAACAGCCACGTTGCACACTCTGTTGTGCTTCCCGGAGTCTTCCATGCTCAGTGCAATTTTCTTCCACAAGAAGGAGGTAAATGCCTCTACCTTTGACCTCATGCACCCATTCTCACTTGCCAACAGTTGTAGCCTTTTAATTTGCTCACCCTCAACATAAAATGTGCGATTAACGAGTGAATGGTCTCCATTATCGTCATTTTGATCATTTACAGTCTTGGATAGTGGCAAAAAGGGAGCAAACATATTGTCAATTGATGTGGAATAAATAGGTGGACACCTCGGATTGAGGTAGGATCTTTCAAAGGTGGGAAACATAGACGGAGTTCCTGTACGAGTTATGTCTGCCCATGATGAGATAAACATGTCAGCCGAGTACCCATCCGCTATCCTATGATCAAAAAGGCACCCTATCACTATGCCTCCACATTTTAACTCCGTAACCTGTACGTAATTGATTTAGGCAATGCTGTTAAAATCTAGTTTGCACATATTAATTAAAACAATATTTTATAAGCCAATCAGATAACTGAAGATTGAAATGTTTAATGTATTTTTTTAGTTGAAAAGATAATCCTTATTCTAATAAATGAATAGTTTTAATCTCTTTTTGCCAAATGTTACTCTAATACAACTTCTCATTAATATTATGTCATATGTCATGCAGATATATTAGAAATCTCATTTCAAAATTCAAATTTACATTTTCTAATTATATGTTAAATTTGAAGTTATAATAACTTTACAAATTTGATATATCTCTTAATTAATAATTTATTTAAAATGATTTATTTAAAATAATGGATTAATAATTATAAATTTTTATTATAAAAGTTTAATTAATCGTGGTTCCCATGATTATAAACTAGTAATTAATAAACAAAAGTAACACTATTATAAAAAATGTAGAATCAAATTCCTGTCGGATAATCCGTTTATTGAAAAAACTTTGACAGAAAAAAAAAGTCCAGTAGGATAAAAGGGCTTGGGTAATTTTTTATTAGCAACAGAATCTTTGAGAATTACCAACTGATTTATTCTCAGTATACGTACATACACTTTTTATGTAGACTTTAGGTTCAAGTTTGATGGAATACTGACCGAATCATTTAGTGACAGATTTTACAGCAGATTTCTGTTGTGACTATTTCCGATGGTATATCGAGCATGTTTAGTGTCAGTTTTTTCGTTGGTAAAATGAAGTTTTATAAAAACATAAATAAATACAAAAGTTGTTATAGATAGTATTTACAAGTTATTAGTAAATGTATTGGTTAACGGAATTATATATTTGATTGTATAGGTTTTATCGATGTCGTAGTATGATACAGACACATCCCTTACTAGGTCCGTATCATGCCATAAGCCCAAGTGTAGAACTCACTCCCAAAAGCCAGCTTGTAGGAGGAGGGGACACCTAAACTTATAAGCCACCAACTTATAGTATTTTCAGCCGATGTGGGATCATAACATACTATCAATGCGAAGTTATATGTTAGAATGTGTTGGTGATTTTTATGTCATCAGACATTTTGTATAACTGGATTTAATATATAAGCTAAGATGCGTAGTATTTGTACTTTATATTATATGTTTATGAATGCGGAGTGCATGTAAGTATAAATTCGAATTATATACCGTACGACAGAACAACGAGTTTCAAGTGGGTCGCGCCCCCTTGCAGGTCCTAGGGGCAGTTCCCCTAGCGGGGTCCAAGGGGCAGAGCCCCTGGCGGTGGGCCCCACCGACCAATCAGCAGGTGGGGTCGAAGGCGGTGCCCCCGTAGATGATTATGGTAAGATTGAAAAATCTTGTCAATTTTGGAAACCATTAATTTTGTCATTAAATCCATGATTCTCTGAACTAATTTAGAAGAGGAAAACTCTAATATCCCTATTCTAATAAATGAATAGTTTTAATTTCCTTTTGCCAAGTGTCACTCTAATACAACTCCACATTAATATTATGTCATGTGTCATATAGATATATATGTCAACTCATTTTAAAATTCAAATTTACATTTTCTAATTATATGTTAAATTTGAAGTTATAATAAGTTTAAAATTTTGATATATCTTTTTATTAATAATTTATTTAAAATAATTGATTAATGATTACAAATTTTTATTGTGAAAGTTTAATTATTTTTATAACCCGTGGTTCCCACGGGTTATAAACTAGTATCAAGTATATATACGACTCCTCTATTAAGCCGTAGATACAACCTTCTCTCTCTCTCTCTCTCTCTCTCTCTCTCTCTCTCTCTCTCTCTCTCTCTCTCTCTCTCTCTCTGAATTCACTAGCAATTTGGTTCACGTTTTCTGCCTAGATTCGTGAGTGTCCATTTCGATTATCCTACACTGGATTTCTTGTAACCTAGACATAGGGTAGAATATCAGCTCGGAAGTGACTCAGCTGATGTCCATTTCGATTATCCTACACTGGATGATTTACAAGAAGATTTAATTTGGAAACATCAACAGTATCATGAAGAAGTGACTCAGCTGATGTCATATGTTGATTTGCACCTGAGTCAACAACCTATTTTTGGTGGCTAATGGTAGAATTATAAGACCTAAAAAGAAGGATACCTATCATATTCGCATTCACAGAAGTATCCTCAGAGACAGAAGACTTTTCATTAATGAGACTCAACAACTTGTTGTATTGTTCACTTATAAGATAGTGAGCATTACCACTCCTAGTGACATCTGAAGTAACACTAGAAGAAAAGAACTAGCGGAAGGAACAGATGAGGAGTTACTAGAAAAGGACTTATTTTGACTCCTCATTTTATCATTATTAGTCTCATTCCTGAACTTAAAATCTTTTGGATAACCAATTAGTTTATAACACCTTTCAATAAGGTGTCCCTTAAGACTACAGTTTCTACACTGTAAATTCTTATTTCTTCCCTTGTTTGAGTTAGTATTTTGACTCCTTTTATCACTAACTCTACTATTAAATGAAGATGATTGAGTTTTGGTGACATTAGAAGAAAGGAGAGAGCCCCATTCTTTTGATGAGATTCCTTTCTAAAAACAATACAAAAGTAGATTTAACATTAGGAAGAGGATACATCAAAAGTATGTGACTCTTCACTTGATTAAAAGAGTGATCAAGACCACTCAGAAACTGCATTAACTTCATTAGTTTAGAGTGATCGTTATATTTAGCAGCAGCCTCACAAGTGCACTCAACAAGATCGGTAAGACTGTCAAATTTCTTTCAGAGAGTATCAAGTCTATTAAAATATTCAAGATACATTTTGACTAAGAGAATTAATACTTTGATGAACATTAAAAATAACAGACCCATCTGCTTTATTGTAAGTTTCAAAAATTTCATCCCAAATTTCTTTAGCAGATTTGGTGAACATTAAAAATAACAGACCCATCTGCTTTATTGTAAGAATATGCATGACCAAAGTAGATAGACTCAAACAAAGAACCAAGAATCCAAGAGCAAACAACTGCATTGGCACGCTCCCACTTCAAAGATTGAAGTTCATCATTGGAATCCTTAGTAACTTTACCTTCAACAAACCCTAATTTGTTCCTAGCCTTAAGACTTCTAGTCATAGAACTACGCGAAACACAAATTTTTTTGGTCCCAGTTAGTTTAAAGTTCACTATCGTAGTAATAATATTATCTGAAGGATGTATGAACAAAGGATCATCGTAGTTCATAGACTCAGTCTTAGAACCACTACCAGATTCAGAACTAGGTGTAGGTCCAGTCATGATGCACAAACAAAGAAACTAACAACAAGTAAGAAAATCAACATAAAACACATACAATTGTGACTCCTATAAGTCCAGATGGTCACCACGGTATGTTGGGGCCCAAGACAAGAATTACAGAGTCACAAAAAAACAATCAACAATAAAGTAACTGGTGTACGCAAGACAACCAGGATCTCCCAGAATCTACAACTAAAACAGAGGTAAAGGGGAACAAGAAAGAGCTCACAAAGCAATCGAGTATAGAAGAAAACATATCGAC